TCACAGATTTGTGTAAACGCCACTCAGGTTGAAAAATAGAACATTATCAGCACCTCGAGAAGCCCCTCTTTCTAATTACAATACCCCTTCCTCCTCCCCCAGAGGTAATCATTATCCTGATCTCTAATACCATAGTTAAATTTAGCCTGCTTTTGCACTGCAAATAAATGGAATTGGACAGTGAGTGTGCTATTGTACCTGGCATCTTTTTCTCACTGTTTTACTTGTGAGATTCACCTATGTGGTTGCAGCTGATTATTGTTCATTGATTTTCATTGCTGTATAGAATTCTATTGCATTCCTATACATGATTTACTTATTCACTTAGCAGTGATGGGCCTTTGATTTTCTTCTTGTTTTTGGCTTTTGTATATTCGGCTGTGAACATTTTGTACATGTCTTCTGGTAAAATGTATATGCCTTTCTATTGCGTATATTGCTAGAAATGGAATTACTGGGTCATAAGGATACACGTTCAGCTTTATTAGAAACTGTCGAATAGTTTTTCCCAGTAGTTTTAACAGTTTACACTCCCACCAGCAGTAAATGAGGGATTCTAGTTGCTCTCCATCCTTGTCAGCACTTATTTTCAGTCTTTTGGCTTAGCTTTCTAGTTGATATGAAGTGGTATATCATTTGGGTTTCTCTGATAACTAATACAGTTGATCACCTTTTCATGTGTTTATTGGCCATCTGACTATCTTCTTTTGTGATGTATCTGTTCAAGCCTTTGGCCCATTGTTCTACTGGTTTGTCTGTATTTTTCTTATCGATTTGTAGAAGTTTTTTTTTTTTTCTTTCATAGATTCTGGATAGGAACCTTTGGTTGTAAGTGTTCCCAACTGTCCCTTAAGCTTTTAATGTGCCTGGAGAAGATGTAACAGATTTGCTGTGGGACCTTTCTCCCAGTTGCTCTCCCTCAAGCACAGTATAATGACATGGTTTCCCAGCGAGCGTTCACACAGCCCACCCATGGCTGGGGAAGGATTTAACCATCTTCTGCCTCTTTCCTAGTACTGGCTTGTGACAGAATGCCCTTTCTTTTTGATGTGCAGGGTCCTTGTGGGTGCACCAAAGGCAGATTCCAAATACAGCACTTCAGTGAAGTCCCCTGGGGCTGTGTTCAAGTGCCGTGTCCACACCAACCCTGACCGGAGATGCACAGAACTGGACATGGCTCGAGGTGGGTGGACATTACTGCCAAGGTGGAAGTGCGTTCTGCACCCTCACACTTGGCTCCTTTCTTCTCAGCGTGGCTTGATCATTCACCCACTCATCTGTCCATCCATCCATCCCGTCTTCCTTCCCTCCCTCCAGCAAATATGTATTGAGTACCTATTCATTATTAAACCCTGAAGTACACTGGTGAACAAAACAAACACGGATCCTGCCATCCTGAGCTTTGTAAATTAGTGGGCAAAAGAGACATTAAAACAAATAATTGAGTGAGATAAGACCAGAGGGAAGGTGGGTATTCAGTCTAATCCAGATTGAAGGGTCAGGAGAGGCCTCTCTGGGCACCTTTCCACACACTGGAAGGATGCACAGTTAGCTGGGCAGGTACAGGAGACAGACCCTCCAAGCAGAGGTGCACCATTTTGAAGTACAGAGCCAGGGCAGTGTAGCTGCTGTGTGAGCAGGGGCAGCAGAAGTGGAGGAGGTTGGCAAGGCAGGCCGGGGCTGGATCACGCAGGGTGAGCAGGCCAGGGTAAGGCGATGGCATTTTATTCTGTGAACGGGGGGAAGGCCGTTAAAATCCATTTTAGGTTTTATGTTTTAGGTAGGGAAAGATGATTGAATGGATGTTTTTAAAAGCTTACTTTGGTCTAGTGGAAAATAGGAGGGTCCTTCAAAAAGTTTGTGGAAGGTTTTGTATTATCTTTTAATTTTATTTTTCCATGACCTTTTTGAAGTAACCTTGTACGTCTTTGGTATCAGATGGATCTGCCTGGGTTTAAAGCCCAGATAGGACTTGTTGGGAATGTCCTGTAGCTTCTTGGGACTCAGTTTCCTCACCTGTATGTAGAATATGTACCTCACAAGGATTGCCATGAGAAGATTAAGTGAGACAATAGAGATGAGTACACAGAATTGTGCTTGGCACACAGTAGGTTCTCAATAAATAGGAGCTGTTCTATTCTAATTATTACTTTAAGTCCTCAAAGTCCTTTTCTATCAAGATCTTCTAATTATTATTATTTTTAAAATAAAGAGTTGTTATAAGTTTCTCTAGCAGAGAAGGAGAGGTGTCTGTGGTGTTCTCTAGCACTGCTCAAAATGACTGGTTTGTGAATTGTTTGTTACTGGCACATAACAAATGAAGGAGCTTGCTTCAGAACATAAATCAATGCCCTGCTTCCTTCATCCAGAAAGTCTTGCTATATAAAAAGTAGTTGGCTGAATTAAACAGGGTACATAGTGATGGAGTTGATTTACATTTTGTTACAAGTGTCTTATTTCCTCATGGCTAACAAAAATTTGGGCCGTGAACCACCCTTTGAAAAGCAGCCGGCAATACTTCATTGCTCAACCCAAATCTGGCCTTTTCTCTTTTTCCTCCAGCGAAGAATCGGGGTGCATCCTGTGGAAAGACCTGCCGGGAAGACCGGGATGAAGAGTGGATGGGGGTGAGCCTGGCCCGGCAGCCCAAGGCCGATGGCCGCGTGTTGGTAAGGCCTCCGAGAGTGCCAGGGGGGAGGGGTGACACTATGAGAATGAGCCACTGGTTTGTTAGGAAAGCTGGATGGCGTGGTGACAAGGGCATGCCTTTGAGGTTGCCCATTCTGTACTACAGCCTAGACAAATGACTTACCTTTTTATTTTCTTTATCTGTCAAATGTTACTAATGTCTGTCCCAGGGTGCTGAGATGTGGCCATTGAAAAAGTGCTCTGTAAATCTCATTCATTAACTAATTTTTTGTGTGTGTCTTTTTAAGTCGAGATATGATTTACATAAAATACACAAATCTTAAGATTACAGTTTGGGTTTTAACAATTGCAGATACCTGTGTAACCCTCCACCCCCCAACCAAGATATAAAATATTTCCATCATCCCAAAAAGTTCCCTGACATCCCTTTCCAGTCAACTCCTCCCACCCGAGGGAACCTCTGCTATGAGGTGTATTACCATACATTATTTTTGCTTTTTCTAGAACTTCGTATAACTGGAATTCTACAGCACAAGCTCTTTTGCATGAGGCTCTTTCACTCAAAATAATATTTGTGAAATTAATCCATGTTGTGTGCCAGTAGTTCATTCCTACATGATGTAATACAAGTTATTTTTAATTAGTCATTTATTTGACTTCTGAAGTGCATGTGAGGTATTCTGATTTGTTAAATACTTTGAGGGAGAAACAAAGAAAGAAATCCTTGCCTTTGAGGTGCTTGATATCCTAGAGCTGCACGGATCAATAAAGCAACCACCAGCCACATGTAGTTATTTACGTTTATCGAAATTAAATTAAAAATTCAGTTTTTCAGTTACATTAGTCACATTTCAGATACTCAACAACCACTCATGGCTGCTGGATAGTGTACTGGGAAGTGCAGAGTGACGGCATTTCCATCATTGCAGAATGTTCTGCTGGACTCAGCAGAAGAAAGAATTTCTAAGTGCTACAGAGGTTTTGCTTTTGTCTATTTTTTCCTTTCTCTTTTCCATTGAAATGTGACACTAAGGTACTTAACATGTGCAACTATAAGCATGTGGTGAATTTTTTTCATACACAAACTCATGTTTCCCCACTGCTAACACCCCAGAAAGTTCCTTTGCTACTTCCCAGTCAGTGTCTCTGTCCCCACTGAGAGAACCACCATGGGATTTTCTGGGAAGTTCTCTGATGATTTTTGTTATAAAAGCATAAGATCAAGAAGGGAAAATAATACTAGCTGCCACTCACTGAGGGCTGTCCTTGGGCTGCATGCTGTAAAGCTGAGTATATTTTTATATATTTATGTATATATTATCCCAGGGGAGACAGGTTTTCCTTGACGATCTAGGCAAAATGTTTCTGTCCCCTCTCTGAGGAGCCCACTTTTGTGTTAAGCTCCTTCATGGTGGAAGTTGTTCATCTGAATTCTACCCTCCTCAGCACAATTAAGCATCTCCTCCTTGATGGGCCCCTTGGGGGAGGGAGGAAGCAGCTGGATGCTGTCACCAGCATCGCGGGGCCTCCCTACTGGCCCCTGTTGTGGGTTCCACCAGGCCCGCCATTTGCCTTGGTTTCCAGTCCTTTAATCACTGTTGCACAGGCCCTGGACCCTCTCCAAGCCTCCACATTCCTCCAGGTCTGGTGGCCTGACCCTGACTCGATGACTCGGCCCCAGAAGGATGAGAATGCTTGCCTGCCATTCCAGGGAAAGAAAGAGAAGAAGCTGACCTCTCTATAAATCAAAGGGTGGCCTGAGGTTGAGATTCAGGACAAACAGAGAGGAGGCGGGGGCCTGGCGGCTGCACAGCACAAAATGCTCTCACGGCCATCAAGCCTAGAGCCAGAGTGTGCGCCTGTGAAAATGTTTCCCCTCCCCACCCAGGGGTACCCTCTGTGTGGCTGAGAACTTATTTCCAGAGGAAAGACAAAGGGTTCTGTGAGTCAGTGTCAAGAAGGCGTCATCTCGGGGACACGAACAGCAGTGAGGACAGGGGAAGATTTGGCAAAGGAAGCCAAGAAGGCGTAGTTGGAGCCTTTGTGGATAATGGTCTCGCGGGTAGTCCTGTCTAATTTAATTGCGTGCAGAGCTGTTTTTCTTATGTTTTACACAGTGATGGCATCACTCGTTCAGTAGGCAGCTTGATGTGGGTGCTGGAGAAAGAGGGCGGCATCTGGCAGCATCTGCTTTCCTCATGCCGCCCCCCCCCACCCCAACTGTGGTCAAAAACATAAAATTTACCATCTTCACCATTTTTAAGTGTACAGTACAATAGTGCTAACTACATGTACGTTGTTGTGCAACAAATCTCTAGAACGTTTTCATCTTGTAAAACTGAAACTGTCCATTGAAGAACTCCCCCTTTGCCTCTCCCCGCTCACTCCCTGACAGCCACCGCTCTAATTTCTCTTTCTAAGAGTTTGCCTACTTTAGATCTTGCATAAATGGAATCATGCAGTATTTGTCCTTTTATGACTGGCTTATTTCACTTTGCATAATGTCCTGTAGGTTCATCTATGTTGTAGCACATGACAGGATTTCCTTCTTTTTAAAGGCTGCATAATATGCCATTGTGTGTATATAGCGCATTTTCTTTATCCATTCATCCATCGGTGGGTGTTTAGTTGCTTCCAGCTCTTGGCTATTGTGGATAATGTTGCAAAGAGTGTGGGAGTGCAGATATCTCTTTGAGATCCTGTTTGCAATTCTTTTTGATATATACCCAGAAGTGCAATTGCTGGATCATATGGTAGTTCTGTTGTTAATATTTTGAGGAAATCACTTGTTTTCCAAAGTGGCTGTACCATTTTGCATTCCCACCAAGAGTACACAAGGGTTTCCAGCTTCTCCACATCTTCTCTAATACTTGCTATTTTCTGTTTTTTTTTTTTTTTTTTTTATAGTAGCCATCCTAATGTGTGTGAGGTGATATCTCTTTGTGGTTCTGATTTACATTTTCCTAATGATTAGTGATATTGAGCATCTTTTCATATGCTTGTTGATCAATTGTACATCTTCTTTGGAGAAATGTCTATTTAATCCTTTGCCTACTTTTAAATTGGATTTTGTTGTTGTTGTTAGTTGTCCTCATGGCTTTTTACACATGTGCTGTCTTGCTCAGAAAGGCTTGTCCTAAATCCCCTCTGTTCCTGCTCCCTTCTGTCCTTGGCTGTCTGGAACAAGCTTAGTATCTTTTGTGTCATTAGGAATTTGACATTGCATGTTACCTTATGTTGTGTGTATATTTTATTTTGTGTGTTTGGGTCCTTTTTTATGGGGACCGATACCAAATCTTCTACCTCCTTTCAGTGTCAGTGCCTGGAGGACGTCTCTCTAAGGAATGGTGTCTCGAAGTGTGTTTGAATAATATGGAGACTCAGTGTCAATGTTAAAACAATTAGAAATCAAATTAGTTGCCATGTTTTCTTGGTGGCTGATTCTAAGTGGTTGATGGAAACACCAGGCAAAAGGCTCCTTTACACCAGGCTGTAAAAGTCCCCTTGGAAATGACAGGTGACAGTAAAGTACAGTGAGTGGCCACCTAGTCCACATTTACATTTTAGAGAACTCATATTCATTTGCTTCTTTAATGTCTCAGTTCTACCTGTCAAAGCTTTCTGGGAGGTGCGTATTTATTTTAAAATTAAAAATAGGAAGGATGTGTGTGTGCTCATGCACATTCTGAGAACTCAGGAGGTGCCTGGGGGTGTAGGCATGAGACCTGTATCCCCAAGGAGCATAAAATTGGATTCTACGGTTGGGTTTGAAGAGGGAGAGGCTCTTTTGAAAGTGACATCTGGTGCTGATTTCAAAGTAAAGAACAGATGGAGAATTTGAAAGCTCTGACATGGGGTGAAGTGTCTCAATGACAAATGGCATTATTTGGACCATGGACCCAGCAACCAGCTCTGGCAAGACCCTGCACGTCAGGCTGACCCTGGCTTAGTACCTGCCCATCTTGGCTCGATGGACATTGTGGTTTCCAGTTTTTTTCAGGGAACAAACAAATGATATGGGCTGTAAACACAGCATCAGGATTAGGGGCAAGCCCCCCTGCCTTATCACATTCTTACCCTGCACTCCCAGCATGGAGATAATGCTTTACAAAATAGGGGGAAAAGTCACTTCTCATGGTAGCCACTGAACAAACACAGCATAGGCATTGACTGCTTCTCTCAGACCTTGGAGGGCAACTCGATATGTTCAAGTCTGATGTCTCCCCTTTTCATCAGAGTTGCCAAGGCTCAGACAACAAATAGTTTAAGCTTCTAGATTATTTCTGGGTGGGAACAGTGTTCTCCAGCGCTATCTCTTTGCTGTTTCCTTTCTATACATCAGGGCTGTCCCTCTGTGTTCACCACTTCCCATCTGTCCATTTTTTTCAAAGCCACAGGATACATTTTTGCATTTACTTCTGTTGCTGTTTCCTGATTTTTGTGTGTGTGAACTTTTTATTGAGCTATAACACACATGCAGAAAAGTGCGTAAGTAATCAGTGTACGTACACCTTGGTAAATTTGAATTGGGTGAACATCCTCAGAACAACATTCCTAGCACCCCAGAGCTCCCTCCCGGTGCCTCTCCATTGAAGTCCCCTCCCTCCTCCCTTGGTCTGGAGCTTCTCTGGGGGAGTTCTGTGGCATCACAGCCTGTCTTTGATCCTGCACCCTACACCACTGTTCTCAGCAGTCTCAGTGGACTTCGGCTTTGGCCATCTGTATATGATGAATGCATGTGTTGGAGTGGTGGGGTGGGGACTGACATGGCTTTGTGGCCGAGCTACCCTGAGAGGCCCAGTACCCAACCCACCCAGGAAGGACGTGCTGTTTCCATACAACAAAAAAGGCCTTTGAAATAAATTTTTTCATTTTCTTCCTCTCTTTATTCTTTTGGGAGGAAAAACAGTCCTTATAACTTGAAATATGCCAGATTCTAAGATTTGGGGTGGTGCTAGGCCCTCCTCCCCCTTTCTTATGATTATTTGAAGTCTGAGTTTGAGCACGCCTTGCCGATTCCAGAGAATGTTCTCCTTTCCTGTTCTTCCCTGCTCTGTCCCCATTCCTCCCTCACAACAGAACTCATTCGGAGAGATTGATGGAGTTGCTAATGCTTTGGAGACAGTCCCTGGGAATTTTTTTTGTTTTTAACATAGGGGTCAGATTGACGTGTGTGTATGTGATGATAGTCAGGGCTAAACACAGTCTTTTTCTTTCTATGATTCATATTCAGAGATACTTTTCATTGTTTTCCTATATGGATCCTGCCTTTGATGCTTTGACCTCTGACCTCCAAGAATGCCTTAATTTTAGTTTAGTTTGGTGTGAAATGTGAAATGCAGTATTTGGATCTTCTAGGAATTCTCAAGATCACCCGTTAAATAGTTTATGGCACTTAAAAAATGAGGCAATAAACTAGAAGTTAAATGCAGCAAGTCCTCCTAAGTGTCAGTGTGCAGCTGGCTGTCAGACAGCACCATGATAAACATCTGCCTCTTTTTATGTCCCAGAAATACGATCAAACATAGTAAACCCTTGAATCCAAGGGTTTTGCTAAGTCTGTAAATGAAAATATTTACCCACCAATTAGATGATAAGAAGCTATTCAAGTTTGCAAGCTACTAGAATTGAGTCAGAACTGAAAAAAAAAATTAGTTACTTAGCAGTATGGACTGATTATCCATGTAGTGATATATTTTTATAGTTCCTTGTTCCATATCATGTCAATCTGTTGAGAAGTGTGCTATTTTAAAATTAAAGTACCAATTGAGGAAGAATGAAGGTGGTTTGCAATAGAAGGAGTAACAGTAGATTGCTTTCTGTAGCTTAATGCCTATGACAAGAGGCAAGACAGAGTGTGGGCAAGCTCATTTTTGAGAATCATTCTGAGCATGTCCTCTTTTGCCTTTGGACAGAGTGGCCTTGTGAAGGGCCCTGGTGGCAGTTGGCGTGAAGGGATGATGAGCAGACAGCTGAGAAGGCAGTGATCATATAATAGAATGACCTCAGGGAAAGCCAGGCCCTGGAGAGTCCCCTCCCTCACTTGGTGACCTTGGGCATTCCGTTTGACCCCAGAGTGGTTATTTCAGGTGTCCTGGGACCTGTAAAGTGCTCTATAAGGACAATAAATATGAGGGTAATTTTAAAAGTTCATGGAAAATAGAATTAAAATATAATACAAATCTTGACAAGAACTTTCTGAAGTACTCTTGTACCTAGCTACCAGATCTGCCTCTGGGTGTGTTTTGATGGCTTCTCAGACAGGAATTAAGAGTTTTAAGGTGGAGAATGCTTTATAGGGATACAAGGAAGACTCAGAAACCGTGGATGCTGGCCCTGTTTGTAGCACTTACTAGCTCTGCGGCTTGGGCCAAGCACCCTCTGATACTCAGTGTTCCCATACAGAATATGGGAATTCTCAGAACACCTCTTGTGCCCACCTTCCAGGGTTGCAGATGAAGTCAAAAGTAAACCTTAAGAACACTGAGCATTATAACCTATACAAACAGTGCATTTGAAGGAGATCAAGGTGTTAAAAACTGATTATTTTAAAATGTAGTATTTTAAGAAAATGCATCCCTTGGCCAGAGTGAAGTGAGCTGGTAACCAGAGTGATTGGTGACCACTCAGGAGGAGTGGCTGGGTGGGGCAGGGTGTGTGCTCTGAGTGGGCAGGTCGCCCCTCAGCGTGATGGGCAGCTGTGGTGAGATACACAGAGCTGGTGCCGCTGTCACGTCCAAGTGCGAGGCAGGGACATGTTCCGTGGGGCCGAAGGAAGAGCCAGGTCTATGTTCTGGCAGCCGGCCCCTGTCCGGCGCCTGTTGGTGAGAACTGCCCTGCCTCCAGCATCTCTTTGTGGGTTTGACCCCAGAGCTAAGATGCTGCTTCTGAAAGCTGGCCAAGGGATGTGTCTGTCCCTGGCGGCCTCCTTATCCCCTCACATGTGCCAAGCTCCCACCACCCCAGGACCCTCTGTCTGGACCTTCCATCCTCCTGGAACACCATTCCCTGTGCGCTCAGGGTGCTTAGCTCTTTATCATCCTGTACATTGTCCCAGACCTCCAGGTGGAAACCATCCCTCCTACTCCCAGATTGTCTGTCCCATAACCCTGTTTCCTTTCTTCCCAATACTTGGTATTGGCTATAGTTCTCATTTGGTGCTATGTTTGTTTATTATCTGTCTCCTCCCAGTAGCCTCCCAGGGGCTTGATCGTGTTCACACGGTTTTCTGATGCTCAGAGCAGTGTCTGGTGTGAAGGTGTGGCTGGGTGGGAGAGAAGAGTGCTTTCTGGCCCCTCTGCTTCTCTCTCCTCCCATGGAACCACCTGGTACTGCCAGGGGTCTGCTTTGTAACCTCTTGGGGCCAGCTTCCTTAATCTCAACCTCTCTGTCCCTTTAGGCCTGTGCCCACCGCTGGAAGAACATCTACTATGAAACAGACCACATCCTGCCCCACGGCTTCTGCTACATTATCCCGTCCAACCTCCAGGCCAAAGGCAGGACGCTGATCCCTTGCTATGAAGGTGAGTGCAGATTGATTCTATCTTATCCCCTTACCTACCTCATACTCTGAACAGCTCCCACCCCTCTCTGCACCACCAGAGAACATCTCCCCCAGCTTTCCAAATGCTAAGAAGCCAGCACTATTTGCTCCCAACGGCCTCTTGGTGCCAAGGCCCTGCCCAGGTAAGAGGCAGTGCAAAGTTGGCTTACCAAGCTTTGTGAAGTCTCAGAGACCGAAACTCACCAAGCCTCAGCCAAGTGATCAAACAGATGCCTTGGTTTCTTGGCACTGTCTGATGCTGTGTGGCCTTGGGAAACTTATTTGCTCTCTCTGTACCTCAGTTTCCTCATGTGAAAATTCAAGGGTTGGCCCAGATGATCTCAATAGCCCAGTGTGGCTCCCAGATGGTTATTAAGCTCCTGCATAGCTCCTGGCTGCACTGTGGACAAATGTCCTGTCCACAGGCAGGGGGAACAGAAGATCCAGATTCATAAAGCAACAGCTAGACAGAAACTTGACACCCTCAATCATTCAGTCATGTCATGCCTGGAAAATGGGTGGATGCCGGAGAACTGGGTGCATCCTCAACACCATTTTAAGAGTTCCTCACCAAGGGGCACTTGGGAAAGGAAGGGAAATGTGTCCCCTCAGGCTTCTAGCTGAGAACCTTCAAATGCCCAGGCACTGAGCACAATTGCATCAATCACTGTTTAGCCCATTGAATTTGAGCTTTAATGTTTCAGAAAATACTGTTGTCTTCTTCAGCTTGAGAACTTGTACCCTCAGATTTTCTTAGCCTGATTCCAGGTAAGCTGGGACTCTCTGAGTGCTGGACTATTTATTTTTAATTTCCCCCCAACTTGTTTGGACAGAAGTGTCACTGCCCTGTGTCCACACTGCCTTTGTGCCTCCCTGGGTTTTTCCAGGTTTCACATTTTGTGGCTACCAAAGAGGGCTCTGAGAAATGCTGTCTGGACACTGCATTTTTCTGCCTCATGGAGGACCCTCCAGTGCCCTTCTGGGAACTCAGGTGGCCTGATCAGGGTGCTCTGTGAAATGGTTCCCAAAGAAGAACCAGCAGGGTTCCTGCAGGTGGCACAAACCCTCTCCTGTGAGGGCAAAACTCTTTTTTTTTTTCTTACCCCTCTGTATCAGCATTTGATCAGCTCTGGCTGAGTTATGTGGAGTAATTGAACTCTGGCCCTGTTTATCTCTCTTGGTCAGAAGGAAAAACAAACTTCATCTTAAAAGTAGATGGTAATATAATCAGTCAAGAAGGGAGGGATAGTTGGTTTCAGATACACAAATAACATGTCAAGACCATCCTGGCTGCCCAGCTTATCCTTCTTCTTTCCCCAGGTGGAAGAGGGGACGCCCCAGAATGGCCCGTTGGGTTGCTTATCAGGCTGGGAAAAGCGAGAGGACTGGAGGCAGTGGTGCTGGAGGCAGTGGTGCTGGAGGCAGTGGTCATTGACCCAACCTAGTTATGCAATAGGACCAGCACATTGGTTTTCCCAGAAGGTGACTGACTGTGAAACAGGGACATGATACTGTCCCCAGTGATTTCTCTGCACACCACCACGAGCATGAGAAAGCAAAAGGACAGCCCTTTGCAAAGGGAGCTGGGGTCGAGTGTCCCTGTGTGCCTGTACCCACCATGGCTCACACTTCTAGACTGCTCTTTATTAAGCAGTCGTGGAGTGAGCAGTGGGCCGGGGTCGCTCTGGGGACTTTACACATTCTCTCATTTAATCTTCACCAAAACCCTGAAAAGTAGGTGGGTTTTTTTTTGTTTGTTTGTTTGTTTTTTTAATTTGGGTTTGATTATAAGTAGTTTATTTTGGAAGCTATTCTAGAAGATACCGGTGGGGCTGGGGGAAAAGGGAAGAGGGAAGGGGAAGGGAGGCAGCCCTGAAAGGGGGTGCTACCCAGCAAGTTCCCACTGTGGGCACCTGGGACGCAGCCTCTGTAGGGAATGCTGGGGGCCAGTGTGGGACACACACCCAGAGTTGTCCTGGCCGAGGGCCTGGGGTGTTTATCCACCTGGCACCTGTCCTGTGTGTGGGGGTGGGGGGGCTGGGAAAGGCCCCAGGCACAGAGATGTGGGTGCTGGCAGTTGGTAGTCACAGAAATGGTAAGGGCTGAGGGGAGAGGCATGGGACACCCTATGGCCAGCCTCTGTTGCCGTTCTCCTGTTACCGAGGGGGAAGCTGAGACTCAGTGTTAAGTAAACTGCCCAAGGTCACTCAAACAGTAAATGGTAGAGCTGGGCTTTGAACTTTGCATCTGACTCAGCAAACCATTCTGTGTCTCGGTGGTTAGTGGTCATTTCTGTTCATTTGTGTTTTGGAGTTTCCAATTAAAATGAGAATTAAATAATAGCCAGTCAGCAACCCCCTCAAAACAACAAAGGGTGACTGTTCAAACTATCCCAAAGATAGAATCATGAGGCGAGGGGAATGTGACCATTTTGGACATCAGCACTCGCAAGCCGGGCCCTGCCTGTCTTCCCTTCCTCCTCACTGTTGGCTCTGGTGTGATGCTTGGCAGGAACGTGGAAGCCTCTGAGCCGAGGGAAGCAGGGCAGACCTGGTGGCAGGGTGTGTTCAGGTCTGCTCCAGGTGTCCCTGGTTCTCAGGAGAGAGTGTGAGCATTGAGCCTAGGCCTTATAGGCATCGTGGGTTTCTGCCCACCGCTCTTGGTGCTTCTGACCATGCAAAATGTCCCGCAGAGCTACTGGTCTCAGAGGAGAGAAGTGCAGGACAGACGGACTGACCCACAGCCGAGCCCGACTAGACCAGCTGAACCCCAGCCCATCTGAGGTTGTACAAGTGAGAAAGAAGTACTTGCTATTGTTTGCCATGGAGATTTCCTGGTTCCTATGTGGCAAAAGCTGGCCGATACGTCTCAGGAACCCCAATTCCTCACGCAGCAGGGGCTGTGGGAAGGGCTTAGGCCTCAGGATCGCTCTTTGTTCTGATCATTCCTTGACTTAATGACGGCGAGATGGAGCCAGCAAGTAAATTAGCAAAATGGTTGTGCCCGTGCCCAATCCTTTTTCTTGATGGGCACTCACACACTTCCATATCCTAACTCGTTCATTGGCCCAGGGAGGAGTAGGGGATGGGGCTGGTGTGGGGTGTACTGGCGTATAAGAGCAGCCCCTTAGAAAAATAGGGGACTAAACAGAAAGCTTCTGTAGTTCTTGGCCCTGTAAGAGAGAGGGGTGGCAGATGCTCAGGTTTCTCTAGAAGACTAGATAGGGAGGTGGGGGGTGCAGGCCACAGTTAGAGGGCTCTGGCCTGTGCTCTGTTGGCTTTGGGGATCTCCACCTCCTTGTTTTGTTGTCTAAACTAAGCCTACTGTGGCTCTTAAGGCAGCTATTATTTTCTCTTAATGTGAAAAACTCAGTGACAGAAGCTCTCTGTTCCAGGTAGGGGATCACATTGTGGTTAGTACAACAGAAGTATTTTAGAGTTTGGCAGGACCTTTCGGATATCACCTAGACCAGCCCTCTGTCTTTACTGAGGTCCAGAAAGGTGGTGTGGCTTTGCCACACAATGGAGAGCCACAGTATTGTTGGCTGGAGCACAAACCGTGGACCCAGACTGCCGGAGTCCAAGTCCTGGTGCTGTCACTTCCACTTATTATCAGTGTGACCTCAGATGAGGTGTTTAACTTCTCTGTGCCTAATGTCAAAGGCCTGTAGAGAGGATTAAGTGAGTTAATACTTGTAAGGTTGGGGTTTTTTTGTTTTTTTTTTTTGTGACTGGCCAGTAAGGGGCTGTGAACCTTTGACTTTGGTGTTATAACACTGTGCTGTAATCAGCTGAGCTAACCTGCCAGCCTAATACTTGTAAGTTCTTAGAACAGTATCTGGCATATATATGCTAATGTACTATATGCTAAGCATATGTATATGCTCATATGCTGTGTTGTACACTCCTGTCCTATATGCTAAGCAAGTGTTTGTGAATCACCACAGGGTGACTGACTTATGTACCAGGAATAGAGTCCACTTAATCTTATTAAGTACTCAGTAGGTGAAACCCTGATAGACAAAACCTGAGTGACACAGTTCCAGCTGTCAAGAAGTTCCTCATCTACAGAAGAAAACAGAGAAGGAACAGGGTGTTTTAAAAGTGGGAGGGCTGTGTGGGGAGAGGATTCCCTGCCAGTGCGGGTACTGCTGGGTCCTCCCCCTAAGGGCTCGAGCTGCATCCATGTGCACAGTGGCATTAATTTTCATTTTACAGTTGGATTTCATTTTACAATTGGAAAACCTGAAACTTGCATAGAATCTGCAGCTTTCTGAGGCCATGGAAGAGAGGGGTGGTGGGAATCTACTGTTGGTCATGGGGTGGGCGTGGGGCAGGGAAGGAGGGGACTGCTGCCTCTGGTTGCTTCCTGTGGAGAAGTGGATGGGCTGCGGAGGCTCAGTTGAAGCCTGCTCTTCTGCACTCCTGTCTCTCAGCCCCTCGGTGGAGTGTTGCCTCCACTGCATCTACCTGTTTAGGTTTTCATGAGGAGCTCATGAGAAACTTGGATGGAAGTGTTCAGAAAGTCCACCCACTCTTCTGTCATTGTGGCCTCATTGTGAGTCTCCATGGGGGCCAACTATGCTCTCTCCAGAATGTTGGGGTTGGTTTGGTTGAGAAAACCCCCTAAGTGTGTGAGCATCTTTCCAATATGTCTCAAGCTTTTGGATTCTTAAATAATTCATCTTTGGTTTTGCACAAAGACATTTTTCTCATGGCTTCTCAGCTACTTCCTGTTTCTGGTTGGGTGGAAAAGGCTACTAGAATAACCTGTTTGGTACCAGAAAATGTAGAGGGAATAGGAAATAAAAATGAACTTAGGACATAAAATAAACCCATGGAGCATACCTTTTAAGTCAGTTTAGTCTGTCTGATACAAGAACAGCATCATTACTGCCATATGATGTTTGTTTTATATCAAAATGTGTGAGAAAATGAGAGCTTCAGTGGAATAACATGGTGAAGACTGTAAATTAAAGAG